TCATGCAAAAAATTCTCCCACTCAACATTTGTGACTGCTGCGTGCAAATCAAATTCATCATGAAATAGCCAAATTTTGTCTGTATGTTTCAATAAAAATATACACAGTTTTAAGAATGATCACACAATTAGCGATTTTGATTTTTTGCTCAAATAGATGAGTGACTGCTCTGTGATGCCAAAGCAAATCAAAAGAATTGCAAACAAACTATTTGATTTTGTGAGGATCTTATAAATCTGCCTAGATCTCGAAATTTTTGACATCACGAGGGTTCTTGCATTACGAATACATTGTTTATAGAGTCAGTTGTTTGGATTTTTCCACCCAACTGAGAAGATTTTTATACAGTTGAAAAAAAGACGTATCAAATCCTCTGTTAGAAGGATATTCCCCTATGTCTAGAGCTACTTGATCAGATAACTTGCTATCAATAGCTATCTAACATGTATCGTTGGTAAACTCAAATTTTTTAAGGAACATTTGGTTTGTCTTTTGGCTTGTTGAATTGATTTTAAATGTTCATTTTCGAGTAATTTAGCTTTAGTCAGGGAGTCAGGGAGGTATTTGTTTGTAATCCTTCTGATATATTTCTGATACTCATTCCGTCAATATTCTTTGTTATTATTGCTTGGATCATTCGAAACGTATGATCAGATCTGTATGATCAGCAAGATCGATAGCGATGATGGCTACCCGTTTGATCTCGGTTTGATAGAAAAAGTTTGATAGACTGTTGGCATGAACTCACTCGTAGGCGAGACTTGAGGTTGTTGTGTCGCCGGCATCTCCGCCGCCCGTTAGCGACGTATAATTTGCTGTTCGGATTACGGTACGTGTAATTCTCTCGGTGACATCAGCAGCAGTGATTTGCTCACTGCCACCACCCTCACCGGTGGTCATCTCTTTTGAGGATGCAGTCGTCTCCATCGTTCCTCTTCAATTGTCTTCTCTTCTCAACAGATCAGCTTTCGCTTAAAGATCAATCACTTAAGATCAATCAAAGATCACTTAAGATCAATTTCTTTGCTTGATCAGGGTAAGATAGCGATCACGCATTACACACACCATAAACACGTCAATCAAAACCTAGCGATTCCACATGAGGTCTTACTGCCGGATGGCTCCAAAACGGCCAGATAACATCCAATAATTTAAGCCCTCCACCGAAAACTGAGCCTTTCTGCGGGCAATGTTTTCATCCCGTTTTGAATAGACGTGTCTTCTGACGAAAGTGACACGAAACATGGAATTCTCTGGTGAATATGCCTCTGGTGAATACATTCCAGTATCGGACACAAAAAAATTGACAAAATAGTTTCACGCATAATAGTTTCAGACGAAATTTTTTAAATCTCGCGGACACTGCTACGGTTGCGGCGAACTGCATTGAACTTGACCTGAAGGTTCAGTCTTTTCGGCATAGTTTCTTTATTTTTAAGCTCTCTGATCCTATATTCTACGCCTTACAATCGGACTTAACTGCAGATAATATCTTGCGCTAGCAAGCAATTATTTTCTATGCCATATATTCATCTAATAATCAGATTAATTGATGGTGTTGTGCAAAAGTATCCTATGAAAGTGCTTGCTATCTAGGCATCATGAAATCATCAAATGAGTTGAAATTGGGCAAAAAGTCTCAAAAAATCACATCAAGTGATCCTTTGGAATGAGTGGTGGCGCCGGGGTGCCGACCGCATTCAACTATAGAAAAGAC